TATATATTATTGGTAATTCAGGTCATAAATTTTTAAAATCTTCACAAATTTTGCCTAATTAAGATAGTTTATAAATTAATTAAATCTTACTTCATCTAAAGGAATACAAAGCCTGGCTAGCTTGTGAGATTCTTCAGGAGATAATATATATGTTCGACTGGTGGGAGTAGAAGGATTGACCAGCGAGAGAATATGAGATTTAGGCAACACTAAAATATTATCTTTCAGAGGAAATTAAATGAGGCTGAAGGTCCACAAGGGTGTAAAAATCGTTTTCTTCTTCATTTGTATCAATTTTATCGATTATATATCCTAACCACCATTTATCATATACACATGTTATATATTCATTAATATTTTAAAATATAATTTTCTCATTTAAAAACGAAACTTGTTTTATATTATATTTTTTGGAATTAGAATATATTTTGGTTTTTAGTTTATTTTGATCAATGGGAATAATCCCGTCAATTTTTTGGGTCACATATATGGGCAGTGCAGAATTAAATCTTTTACGAAGGGCTAATTCCTCTTCGATATATTCTTGATTGGATACATATTCAAATTGAATATTAATATTTTCTTTAGCATAATTATATAATTCTAATGGGGGAGATTTTTATTTGGCCTTTGAAGACTAGCTCTGGCAACTAATCTTTTGACAGTTCCTCCGATACCGTCACATGCATTTTTGCCGTGAGCAGTGACAAAGAAATGCCATTCGGCAGGAATATTAAAATCGTATTTATGAAGGCATATGTTCAGAAAATTTTTGCGATTCTTGTATTGAGACGCGGCTTCATCCGAAAAATATATTATTTTTTCTAGTTTAGAATTAAATTTGGCTGTTAAGAATTTAATGAATTTTTTTTGATAAAGGTGGACTGCACTAGTATTATGGCTTAATGATTCGGACAAAATAACAAAATTTATATTTTTTAATTCTTCTCCAGATTTATAATATGCTACAAATGGATGTATAGTGGCCTGCACATTGTTCCAATGAAATCCCTGAACTTCATCTTGTAAAATGAAGGAATAATTCTCAGAATAATCTAGAATTGTTAAAAATTCCTCATCTTTTAAATTTTCTTTGGAATTCTTCAAAAATAAACTTTGTGTTTAGCTATAAACGAGTGACGCAGTAAAATTTGAACTTTTTATAATAGATATTCGATGAAACCATCAATGGACTTTATAATAGTTTCAAGATTTGCTCTATCCACCGTGATCCATTGTTTAAACGTGACATATTCTATACGATTTCTCTGAAACAATTCGTATAATTGGCCCATAAGAGATTCTATACCAGGGCATTGATCACAATTTGTTAAATAACATTTTGGCTGAGATAGATTACAAATAATTTGCGCCAAAAGATTGTTATAAGAAATTATATAGTAATCTTCTCCTGCTGTAAATTCAGCTATTACATTTGTCATTAATTTCACATTCTGAACTAAAATTCAGTTTTTTGGTCTAAGTTCGGCAAATTTAGAGAATCCAATTGATATACTTGGGTATTCTTCCTTAAACATCTTGAATATTTCTTTAAGATTATTTAATATAAATCTTTGCTGATTCTTTCTCGCCTTTAACAGATACACAATCTTTTATTCCAGGCATGAGTCGGCTTATTTCATCAGAACTATAATTTTGTTATTTTTGTTGCTTAAAAAATTTTTCAAAATCTTTGAAATCTCTAGTTATTTTAATAATGTAAGATAATGACAATTTCATAACATTTTTGGTCTTGATGGGTATGACTTAGTCTTGGGGGGGGGTGGATAGGGGGTTGGGGGTAGGCCTGGTAACTAATGTGATTTTCGATTTTTCCCTTAATAATTTTTCTGCACCCCTTTAATCCTGCTTTTTTGTTCGTGTGCTAGTCCGATTTTTTAATTATTTTAATTTACATTGAAATATTAAAAAAATTATTAAAATTTTTTATCCTGCGAATATCTCAGGGGAATAAGGTTTACAAAGTTATATAATCGAATTTTATGATATATTATACATTAAAATATTTTTAATCAATAAAAAAAATGAATTTTAACATATTAAAACTATTATATATAGCGCCCTCTATTTTTTAAAGTATAAAAATCGCAATATTTTTTAAAGTAAATATTCAGCCATGCTAATTGTTAAAGAAATTATTAAAAAAATAGTAAACGGATAATATTTCTTAAAAAAATTAAAAATCGGAGATCATATACATTTCGAAATATTAATTTCAAGTTTTCAACTGACCATAAGATGACCCATATTTTAAAAAAAATTATTTTTGATGTTTTCGCCATAATTATCAATTATTAACTTAGCTATTGATATTATATTCAATATTTGATCATATTTAGTTTTAAATTAAAAACTAATTATTTAACATCAGTAAAAAGGAAAAAAAGGCGTTTTTTGGACCTTTAACCCCGATTATCTCAGCTAATATTGTTGCTAATGCGCTAAAATTTTGTTTATAATCTAATGGAAACATATATAACTACAACTTTTTATCAAAATTGAAAGGGGTCGGCCGAAAATCTTGATTTTTTTGCTAAGTCGGAAGAGGGGTAGGGGGCGATGCCATATAATACTTGCCTAGACTGACAGTCCATTCATTGAAATGTATTTGAAAGCGTCGACACACCATTTTGGTTCCTCATATTATTTTTTTTATTATAAAAGGATTTAAAAATTAAGGTTTTCATGAAATTTTAATAATTGAATAGAATTAAGATGGCGTCACCAGCTGATTTGTACTGATATACATTTAAGTGTATGAAATGTCATCATTTTATGTATTTGGAAAAATTTTCATAAGGTAGAGGATTAAATAATTTAGGGGGTCAGTGGTCTAGGGGGTGTAAAGCGGATAGTCAGCCTGAGCAGGCCCGTATTTTAGTAAACCAGGCGGTGCGTATTTTTTTTCCTCCTGTAAAATATTTTTGAACAAGTTCTTTGGCCTGTAATTTTTTTTGTTGAGAGAGTCATAAATTTTATTAATTCTGGGGTTTTAAAAAATGCAAAATTCAGACCTATACCTGAAAGTGAAACCCTTGGTGAGTTTTTTTTTTCCTCCTGTAAAATATTTTTGAACAAGTTCTTTGGCCTGTAATTTTTTTTGTTGAGAGAGTCATAAATTTTATTAATTCTGGGGTTTTAAAAAATGCAAATTCAGACCTATACCTGAATGTGAAACCCTTATAATAAATAGGTTAAAATAAATATAATATTAGGAAAAATTAATCATTAATAAGCTAATAAATCCATCTACTCTTTTTTGCCTATCTATTCTAAATAAAAAAATTAAGCAGAATAAGCTTATAGGATATGCAGCGATCTCTTTATAGCTCATAGTTTTTTAATTGGCTACATTTGTAAAAATTATTTACATTAATAAATTTAAAACGTTCAAAAAATATATTTGACCTCATGTTGATTATAATAAATACTAAAACAAAATTATTATTTTTATAGCTAATTTGAACCTAAAATGTTTCAAAACAAATTTGATCTATACAATAATTATAAACTTAAACAGGTATAAAATATCAAATGATTTTCAAACTTTAAATGAAATCAATTTAAATTCAATGGTAGCATTTTTTGGTATATAATTTATAATATTTTCCCTTGTAAACAAGCTATAACAATACATAAGAGCGAAAACCATTTTTTTTATTGACTGATTGATTATATATTTTATTACCTGATTAATTATTCCAAAATATCAGCGATGCACTCGACACCTTTTATAAAAATATTAATCATTCAATATTTTTATCATAGGACCTGTAGAGGTATCATCTGCACATCCCGGTTCGGATTTTTTCAAAAAAAAAATTTTCGGCTTTGTAGGATATATATTTATCTTTATAGCTAATAATCGCTATATAAAATATTTAGTTTTAAGAAAATTTTAGGCCCGGGGTATTCTGAATCTTTTGATTTTAAATTATTTACCGGGGGTGATTTTTAAAGTTTGATTTAACCTGAAATATATTCAGCATGTGCACTTACCTTATAAATTTCAGACAACTTTCGCCTTAAACATTTGTGTATTAAATCTACAAATATTTTAAAAATCATTGCAAAATTGCTTGAAATTCATAGTGTGTAACTATACGTGCTTGAATGCATTTCCGGTCAAATCAGATTTTTAAAATTTAAAAACGTCTCCAGTTTAAAGATTTAATATGTAAAATGGATTCCATATTCCAATACTTTTTTATATTTCATATTTTTTAAAATATCGGTTATCCTAATTTTATAAAATTTTCCGATCCGATAAAATGGCGTCTTAATTTGTAAAAAATTTATTTCAAATTTCATAATATATTTGTTCCTTATTATGTAAATGGACTAATTTTATTATATAAATAAGTGATTTGATTCATGATTATAAACTAACTGATATTTATAATATATTTAAATGACTTATGTTAGTATATATTTAAATTATAGATGTTATACTATTAAAAAGTATATAAGTTGAGTAAATATGTAGTAATGCTAAATCTCTCCATTTGAGTCGATTTTTAAAAGCTGTTTACTATATATTTCAGCCAACAAAATATTGCCCAAGCCTCGAAATTTCGCCAAGTTTTCAAACCTGGTACCATCTATGAACAAAATCTTCAGGCTTGCGTAATATTTTTCTAGATAAAATGATGAGGTAGCCGTTTTTAAAAATTGATTCAAATGGAACGATTTTCCAACATTAGATATATGCATTAAGAATTAAAACTATTAGTATGTTTCCAGAATGCAAAATCAGATACACTTGATTAACGCATTAAGATACAACCGTTTACTAACCCCGATTATCGTGTTTTCAAATTTTAGATGAATGAAGCTTTTTTAAACTCATTCTATTAGAGAGTTTGGGTTATTTACCAGTAAATTTTGTAAAATAAATAATTTAGCTAGTTTGGACATACGTAACCTATAAAAATTAAAAAGTTTTTTTACATTAAATAAATTTATTATATTGTTACCAGGTGGTGTTATTTGGTATATGGCTAAAAAGGTCAGTTATTGTTCTTGGCTTAGGGATCGGTGCTCATCTCTTATATATTGTAATTCAAACTTAATTTATATAATTATATTAATTTTTTTTTCTTTTTGTATTATAGTGTTAACCTCCATGATGACTTAATATGGCGATGGATCCATTAATCACATTGTGGCAATTTTTATTGGAACTTCTTTTTGATAATAGATATGTAGAAATCATCGCTTGGACTGATAAGCAAGGTATATTTTTAGCCAAGAAATTATACATTTTATATTGTTTTTTTTGTTTTAAAAATGCTTTTAAAATTTAACCGTTTTATAAAATCCCTATTTTAGAATTTTCATTTTCCCGTCTCAAAAATATTATGTTTTTTAAAAAAATGTTTCTCTATTTTAGCGTTTTAAATATCTGGCTAATTGAGTGAAATTATTTGTAGGGTTATTCTGTCCTATATTTGCAAAGTATCATTTTAACCTCAAAATATATCATTATCAGGTCTGTAAAGTAAGATTTTTTTAATGTCTTATTTTGTAAGTTTGAAGTAATATAAAGTTTAAAATAATTAATTCACAAATTTTAAATGATATACAACTGTTATTTCAGAAATATACATTTTACGTTTTATACATTTTGAGTTTAGAATCATGTCATACATTCTTAACACAAGGTAATTGCTATATTTTTGGAAAGTTATAATTTTTTATTTACAAAGTATCGTCAAAAGAATTTTTCTTTAAATCCTTTAAATTATTTTTCTTAGCTTAGGATTTACACCTCAGATTTAGAAATAAAATATAAATTAAAAAAACAACATAATGTTTATGAAAAAATAACACTATAACTTGTAAAACACTACTTGCTAAAAATATTTTTATTTTATATTTATTCTTTTATTTAAAAACAAGATCTATGTTTATAAGAAGTTTATTATTTGGGTTTGGTACGGGTTGTGAAAAAATTAGTTTCGAACAAAGTTGGGACCGAATTCATTTTTTATAAATAAATTTCAACTTGGACCCGACTGAAACTGGTGGAATTTTTGTCTCATTGAACCCAGGTTTCCAATTATAGAATCAAAATGAATTTTTTATTTTTTTAAAAAAAAGGCGAATTCAAGTTGATAAATTCAGAAGAGGTCGCCAAACTCTGGGGTCTGCGTAAGAATAAACGTAACATGAATTACGACAAACTTTCCCGCGCCTTGAGATACTACTACGACAAACACATTATAAAAAAAGTTCTGGGTAAAAAATACGTGTATCGTTTCGTTAACATACCTCCTCCCTCTGCGCATGCGCTTAATAACTTCAAGGAGTCCCACCAGAATATCATGAGCCATCATAATAACGGGGTAGTTGGTTACAATCATTCGCTGGAATATTATTATCACTACTTCAACGCCTTTAACGCAAAATTTCGTTCCGGCTCTAATCTAAACAATGATACTCGGAATACAACACCTAACCACGATACGCAATTAATTTGTAAAACTGATTCCACTAGTGATAACAATATTATGGTCGCGGGTGATGTTAATGGGGCAGAAAGCGTTCGCAACGGTAAGGAACACAATACGAACGTTAAAAATGGCATAAAACATGTGAAAATTAAATCAGCCCACAACCAAATAAACAGCAACTACAAGCGTATCGAAAAGAAGTTCAAAAAAATATCCCACCATTATATCAACGGAATCAGTGGCCACGTTACTCCTAATGGCCAACCAGATACGAAGATGATGGTCATTTCGTCCAAAGTGTTTCAATCTCATTTAGCCACGCAAGTTAGTTATGACCAAATGCCTCCCCTCAAATCTGGAATCTTGTCTAAAAAACAAGGACGGCAAAATATGATCAAGTAATCATAGTTTTTTTAAAAAAATTCCCGATATTAAAGAATTTTTTTTATATAAATAATTTTTGATTTATTTTTATTTTATTTTATGACTTTTCTATTAATTTTTAAAAAATTAATTAATTTTTTACTGGACACTTAGTTTACACAATCAGTAAAATGATTTTCAATTCAATATACAAGAAAACCTGTCTGTTTAAGAAAAAAAATATAAGAAATGAATATAACATTTTTTAATATGCAATTCATTAAATAACGATTATTTATTTTAAAGCGGGCATTCTCACCGTGTAATACAACAAGGTATCAATGCGAGCGGTATATTGGATTATTACGATTTCCGCGACGATGATGAAACAAAAAGCCAAATCATTAATAACCAATCTATTAAAATGGAATGTCAAACCGATGAAACTATCACTACAAAACCTTCCCAACAAATCGCAAAGACTACGATAACCCCCATCATGAATAGTTACAACTCTCATTCCTCCAACACTCATCAAAATAATCATCAACCCCAAAATGGTTTTCACTACAATAACATCCCCAATCACGGCAATTTAGGAGACCCGAATGAATCACCTCAAGCTTTTCGCTTTGATAAAACAACAGCTAACTTCAATTATTATAAATTTTACGAAAACGCGCTCTCTCCTTACTACTTTGCTGCGGCCGCCAAACAGAACTTTCAATTCAACCAATCCTACCTTCAACATTATCACCAATCTAGCAACAACATATCCGATTACAATCTTTCAACGAATAACGGACCCTATGCCCATTCTTATAACCCGTCTTCAAATGGTAACGGAGTGAAAGACACGATGGCTAAATACAAAAATAATTGTGTCTACAACGCAACAAACTTTAATAACGTACACAACACGAATAACATAACAAACAGCAACCACTATTATTACTATTTTAACGGGTCAGCCCCGCCACCACACCCACACCAAAATACTTTCCCCCATACGCCTCTTAACATGTACTTAGCATCCCCCCTTTTTTCACCCCTTATGCTTAATTCTCCTTTTCATTTTCCAGCTTACAATAATAACAGTTATGGTTCTTCTAATTTGGTCTCTAGCGATAAAAGACAATCATTTTTCGATTTCCCTCCTATTTCGTTTAATGAAAAATGCGAAAAGGAAGATTTTTCGGAAAGCAATAAAAACTCCCTTGGTGCTAATAATAAAGAATCCAATTCAGTTATGAAACCTAGCCTAAATCGTGATACTGAGTGCATTAAGAAACACGGCCTAAATAGTAGTGATGTCTCCGCGGAAAACGCGATAGTTACCACTAATTATGATACGTGTAATAAGCAACATTATAATGATTTTGTAGATTGTGATTCAATTATCGAAAATGATACTTTAAACACAGCCAATAAAGATAATTCGACTGCCAATTTACTAAATAAGGCTCACGATGACCCTTCTTCCCCAAAATCGAATCAGGATTTAAATATTCTGGGTAAATCTGAGCCCAATACTTTTTCCCAAACAAAGCTTTCAGTCGCTGAGGTCCTTCCCTCTTATCATTCAACTTCACACGCGAATAACGCTCAAAACTATAGCAACACGATTAAAAAAGCGGTGGCCTTAAAAATTAAGAACAAACATAAACCAGCCCCTCTCTCCTTGTCAAAGAATCAAATCACTAATCCCAATTACCATCAGAACAATCATTTAGCTTACAGTCCTTTTTTCGGTTACAATAATTTTATACCTCCCATTACTCCCTTTAACAACTATTTTCTCATAAATACACCCTTTTCGGCCAACAACAATGGTAATTCGCATAGTAAATCATCAGCCGCTGCATCTTTGCAAACCCCCGTTCTAACCTTAAGATCTCCTTTACACTTTCCCATAATCGATAATAATAATAAAAGTGAGAATAAGAATAACATCAATGATTCGTATATAATGGTCAATAGCGACTTAAGTAGTAAAGTCACTTCAATTATATCGCCCATATCGAAAGAGCTTACTACAAGCAACAATTCTAATGAACATGATCTCACAAATTTTCCAGATATCAACAACGATTGTTTTAAATTCAAAAACCCGAATTCAATCGAAAATAGCGGCCCCCACCTTATTTCTTCCTACTTAAATCATGATGCCTCATTTATCCATGACAGTAACACCCCCGAATCCCTGCCTAACTCCATCCACACTATTCCTTCCGTTTCATCCGCTCATCCTCTTTCTTCTCCCCTTCAAAATTCCCAAGAAACCTTTCGACAAGAAAACAGCCCATCTCCCAATAACAAGAGATTTAAGAAAAGCTACGAGGACTCATTGCTCAACGCCTTCTATTCACCTCGTAATAACAACCCCTCCGTCCTTAGTCCACTTATAACCCCCCATCATTTTTTCTTTCCTCCTCCACTTTTCTCCGGCAACTCTCATTTACACGAGAACATTAGTTCTTCCTTGAGCATTCACGAATTGAATAGCGCCTACAACAATAATGCAAAATTTTCGCGCGAAACCTTTCAATTTCCAATATCACCGTTCTTTTATTCGCCGTATTACCAAACCGCCCCTCCTCCCAGTTGAAAAACACCCCCCTTACCTCCTTTTCCCTAAAACGAAAATGTTATATAATATGACGATTAGTTAGAATTTTTCCTTATATATCCACTACGATACACACTTAAATCATACTAACGGAATCAAAAAATATATTATACATTTTGAAATTATCTTAAATTTATTAAAATTATTTTCCATATTAAATTTATAATATTGTGATAAAAAAATGAATGAATGTTTTATTCATCTTTAAATGATGGGAAAAAGATATGCATTTATTATAATGAAAAATATTTATCCCGAATTTTCTAAAATTTATAAAATGAAACTTAGATTTTTTTTTGTAAAGAGATTTATTATTTTTAACAATATACAAATCATAAATTGCTCATATTAATTTTGTAATTTATATCTGTTTTATTATATTATACTATTTGAATAATCAAAATAAATTCAAACTATGAACTTATCAACAATAAATAAAATATATTTAAATCTAATTTCTAACAGTAATTTAATTGAAACTAAGTTTAATTGAAACTAAGAAAAAATGATATAATATAAAGAAATTGTTTGTCACGTTACTAACTCTTATCATTAGGGCATGCTTAGAGGAAGCATTTGTTCAGATAGGAAGTAAGCTAATTCAAAATAAATCTTGATATGACGAATACGCTGAACATCTCATACTTTTGAGTAACCCTAGCCAAGCCTATACAGTGATATCAGTCAATCCAAATCAAACTGATAACTCATGCCTGTGCACCTCATCCTTAACTCATACCAAGCTTAAATAAAATGAATTATATAGTTATAGTTTCACAGTTCTAAACGATCAGTTTGAGTTTGTCGATAGAGAACTGTGAAGAATATCAAATTCAGCAAGATATTAATTTAAATCTATATCACATCCGCTCTCGCTCTTAGCTCAAACCTAATTATGGCAAAATTAATTGAATACTTGTGGCCAGGGATCCATATCGAACTGTTAAACCGTTATTATTTTACTGAACTGATTTTGAATTACAAAAAACTTTGCTATTCGAACCGGAATCAACCCTCTAAAAGATCCATGAACAGGTTTGAACCTTTTACATGACGTGAAAGTTTTTAAATTAATTTTGGTTGGTGAATGGCAGTCAGCATTTTAGATATATTCATTCTTTGTCGATGCCAGCTACTAATAATAATTTGTTAGAAGATGATCTTGAAAATATTTTAATTGTACAGTATCAATAGTATTTTATGAAATAGTTTATAATTATAATAAATTAAATACTGAATATATGTTAGAATTTTATAAAGGGGTTTAGGTATATTTACATTTTGCTTTATGTAGAAGTTTTAAACATAAAATTTAAAATAATGTGATACTAACATAATTCTAAAAGATTTTATATGCTAAACGGTTTGAAGAGTTTTAAAAAAATATAATATACCCAAAGACCTACAATATTGGACCTAAACTCTGATAAAATATATAGAGGAAACCCCGCCAATTATACTCTCCACCCCTAGCAAAATCCTGGATACGCCTATGGAACGACGACTAAAATTTATGCGATAAATGGTTCCCTTGTCCTCATCCCTGAAATGCCGGCCCATCGATAGTTGAACCCTCCCCCTTGATTTTTATTAACGATTAAATGGCATCCGGGATCTGGTAAATGCTATATCTACGAATATTTTTCTTAATATATTTTATTATGCAAATAAAATTAATACGACAATGGAAATTAATAATAATTTGTTGGAAATATGCTTAGGGGAAAAAATATTTTGCTGTCACTCATTTTATTTCCTAACATTTAAACATTTTAATAAACTCCGTCCTTTCACTTATTTACCACCCAACCCAACAAGGGTTCGAACCCAAACCCGGAAAAGAAAACCCAGGTTTTTGAGAAAAATATTTGAACCTGAACCGAATTTGAACCCCGTTTATAAAATTTTCAAAACCCTGAACTGAACTCAGGAATTTTATTTGAACCCGGGTTCAGTGTATTGTTTAAATTAATATAAGATAATTGTAAATACAAATATTAATAATTAACTTGACATTTTATAATATTTTCAAATTTCCAATTAAATGAAGTGTTAATAAATTTTAAACAACTTGATTCATTTACTCTTTAAATTTTTTAAAATTTATTCTCAATTTTTCCCATTGGATTGTTAATAAATTTTAAACAATTAAATTCATTTACGCCATTTATTTTTAATTTATTCTCAAAGATTATTTGTTAGAGGAAAATGAAAGTGAGCAAAAAGTAAAAATTATTATATTGGATATTGTTAATTTAAAGAAATACGTCTAAATAAAAATTTTTAAATCTGACTGCTTTGTATTTTTAACTATTTTGCCTATAAAAAAAATAAAAAATTTATTTTTTATACCAAATTTATGTCTAGTTTTTTAATTATGATTTAAATATATAATATTTTTTTTTATCAATTCAAAAATTCTTAAACCCGAGCTGAACCCGGAACCAACCCGGGTTCAAAATTATTTCCCTGAACCGAACCCATCTATTTTTTAACTTTAAACCGAACCCGGGCTGCCGGGTTCACATCCCTGCAATTCAAAGATGAAAAGTATGTTACATATCTATTATTAACAAATTCTCTCTAAGTATTTGAAAATAATTAGTTAAAATATGTAATTATAATGTAAGGTGCTTTACTGAGTACCTCTCGGTTTCTGAGAGCGGTTCAAGTACACTCCACTAAGCAATTAGCATTTTAAAAGAATACTCATCATTTGTGTATGGTCCTCATATAAATTTTATATTTATTACTTACATATTTGTTACGTATCGGTCTATAATTAACGTTGATCGCGTGATAGGTAAAAAATTTTTATATCTTAAAACTAGGAAAATAGATATTTTGAAAAAGTATTTGTACTCTTCATGTAACAATATATGACTTCTAATATTTAATGACATGCATTGGTCTAATTAAGGTTTAGGTATCATCGTGTGATAAGCATGAAGCAGTAGCGTTACTGGGAGGGGGCGCACTTGAACCCCCCCTTAAAAATTTAAAGTCTTGACAAAATTTTTATACCAAATGTAATTTTGATAATGTTAGCTAAAAAAATAGGTAATTTAATAATGTTAACTATAAGATAAAGAAGGTAATTTTGAAAATAATTTTAAAAAAAATTTTTTGAGCACCCTGAGACTGTAAAGTCTAGTGACGCCCCTGGAGTGAAATAGCTTGCAATATCTATAATTTATTTTAATTGTTTAAGTAATCTCGCCAATATTGACTTACTTACCATATCCAAAAAGAGTTTGAAAAGACAGGAATTCACGAATTATCCAGCATCAGTGTCTTTTTGCTGATAATTTTTTTTCTTCATTTAATGGTTAATGAGGGAATGTATATTTTATAATTAATATTTATATATATTATTGTTTTTCTATATTTGGATAAATAAAAATTTAGTAAATAAAATTTTTATATGAATTGTTTTGTAATTTAGATTTAATTGTTAATGGCGAATTAAAATTGAATAACTAATTTTTTTTTAAATTTGGGGGCATGAAAAAATTTTCGGAAACATTTGTGGGGGCTAAAAATTGAACCAGGTTTGAAGGTCAAAATTTTTTCCGTGGCAATTGGCTTGATATTTTGAAACTAAATTGAATATTTTTTTATTGTAATATTTAGAAAATAAATATTCAATCAAAATAAAGAAATTGTTTCTTTTTTCTTTAGAGGGGAGATTTCAAGGATTCAGGCCCTCTAGTCACTCCTTATATTTTACAATAGTGCGCAATCAATATTAAAAATTTTAAAAAATTTATAAATTCAATTAGATAGTTAGTGTATATATAATATTTAGAAAATGTAGTAAAAATCAAAACAAATAAATACTCAGATAATTTATATAACAATCATTTGGCTATTGGAAAATTATGATTGTTATGAAATTTTTTTGTTATTTTATATTTTAGCAAGATTTTGTCCATAATCTAGAAGATAACTTTAAATTAAATTATATGGTGAGATTTGTTCGCTTATTTTATAAATAACTAACTTTTTTTATCGTCTTTCGCAGGGGCATAGCTAGCCTGGGGCTCAACTAAAAAAAATAATGAGGGCGAGGCCCCCATACCCCCTAATTTTCGGGCCTTTGGCCCGCTTTTGCCCGGTCTTCGATAAGGTTTTATATTATATTATATTTTTTTTTAATTTGCTAACTCTAAACAATTATTCTCAATTTCATATTTTGTCATTTATTATATTTTGCATACAAAATAAACTAGCATATAAATAATTAAAATACAAGATATTTCTAAAAATAATATTTTTTAACACAAATCTATTTATTACAGTATAAAATATTTTCGATTGTTGATATAAAAAGATTTTGCGTCTAAAGAATTACAAGTGATAAAAAAGGTTAATTAATTCATACATATGCCTCAATTGATAATGTACCACATAAGGCTATATAATTATTAGCAATTTACATTGGCAAAAGGTCATGAAACTAATATAACTCTCTGTTACCATTTTAGACAATGTTTTATAGAATGGACTAATACGGAAAAATTTATTAGCCTTACCAAATCATCAATTCTTGAAAAAAAGAATATAAATGGCCAATACAAATCATAATACTATATGGTGGTTACCACTTCCTCTTAGATGACATGATGGAAGCTAGATAAGTAATCGAGAAAATTATTGTGAGATATTAAATTTCTAAAAGATTATCTTCCATTTTTTAATGATATATAAACGACTACACAGTTGGCCATTATTGCTTATCTAAAATATGCAATCATATGCTCTCAGCAGCTGTAGTAATAACCTTAATTATATAGCCATACAAATAATAGATGCTGATTAATTTACAGTCATAGCCATGACACTCACGATGGTAACCCATATCAGAATTTATTTTTTTAAATTGATAAGACAAAAACACTAAAAATCTTTAGAAGAAATTATGCAAATATATTGAAGCCTTGAGTTATTTACACGGCAAGGATGCCATATAGAAATGAAACATTTTGTAACTATAAAAATAAGAACCAGAGAGATATCATGAAAGCAATTAAGATTTTATATATTATTGTCGCACCATCTCTAGTTGGTATATTATATCTTAAAATAATAGTAGTTTGTAATAATATCAAAAATATACTCGTATTAAAAATTTAACTCAAAACTGTTTTTCAAAGAAGAAAAAATATCTTTCCAAAAACACGTAAAAATAAGAGAAGAAAAGATATCTAATTTATTACATCCATTGTGGGATAAAAAATAAAATATTTAATTTTTAATATTTTAAATAAATAGATAGCGTTTTAAATAAATGAATGCAAATTGTTACTTATATTTATTATCAAAAGCATTTATTAGTAAAATTTTAAAAATATTAACTGTAATATAATATATAACTGTCAAATACATCTGTAAAAGTGGCATTTTACCTATTTAAATAATTATATATAATAGAGGATTATAAACTATATGTACTTTTTATAAATAAATCTCTTATACTTATTTGGATTTGGACCTTGATAATAATTTTAGGAAGACACATGATAATTAAATTTAAAAATCAATAATATTGATTAGCGATTTTGAACTCGGCTAATTACAATATTAAATTTGTTAATTTTCAATTAATAAATGATTATATTTATTTAATTAGGGCTATAAAATAATTTATATAATAAAAGTCAATAGCTTCAACTGTTAATGCTAAATTAATATCTAGTGAGTGATATTGATATATTTTTAACACAGAATAGGATTGCAAGAAGCTGACATAGTAAAAATATAATTTATATGTACTAATCTAATCTAATAATTAAAATAGTATTCATTTTATAAAAATTTAGATAGTCTTATTAATTTTGAATAATAAAATTAAATCTATATATTACTCAATAGAATTATAAAAGAAATCGTTCAGGGGGCAATTAAAAAAAATTAATTTTAATTCAAGGGGATATTAAGGAGCCATTAAAAAAAAAATTTTGCTTCCGGGGGCTATTCAAATTTTTCAGGGGGCTCGGACCCCTGCTTCTCCTCCCCCCCCCTAGTGACGCCACTGGTCTTTCAAATATCCTTATTAGGAAATAATTTTTTTATTAACTCAAGAGTTGTAATATATTGGAAGGTTTCAGTATTTTAAAATAATGCATAGGACTGAATACAATGGAATTATAATGTTGTGTAATATGAAAGTGTATACATGACAAAATCTATTTCTACCTACCTAAAAAAAATTCTTCATGCATTATTAATTAAAAATTAATCGTAATGGTAATTCCTCTATATATTTAAAAAGAATTTAATAAATTATAAATACTCTACTTCAAACTATCAAAAATTGTGAGTAAGAAAGATTTTTGGAATATGAATTAAATTAATTATATCAGAATATCCAGAAATAATTTTTATTTGAAAAACAATAACAATGATTGTATGCTATGATAAAAGTTAAAATAAATTTCTAGCAGGATATTTTGCTTTATATCATCTAAAAATTTAATTAATAACCTACAATAAATTTACTCTACCATCCTAACTATTATATATAGAATAATATCTGCAAACATAATATTTATTCATCCATATAACACATAGAAATAAAAGGCAGGAAATAAAAATATATAATGATCCGGATATCACATTATAATAGATGATAGGGTGTTAGGTGGTTAATCTCACCCAATATTATATTAAATCATAAATATATATAATCATCATAACCATATCTAATTGACGAGTATAATAATTCATAATGAATAAATAGTATATTATAATATATTTGTACATTACTACACTAGCCTGCCCCTCTCATATGCCCACCTCCTATCCCTTTTAAAAAAATCTGGAAGTAAAATGCTCCCCTTCCCATCTCATGTAGACGTTGAATATGACTTAAAAACTACCAATTATTAATAAAATATTTTAATTTCTGTGAACACAAATCAAAATTACAAACAACGTGAGTACATTTATGGAATATTATAAGCTATTATACAATGGGGTAAAATTGGAATTAGTAAATTAAATTTTATAATATAATTTTTGTAATTTATAAGAAAAAAAAATAGAATTTTTAAATTGAAGATTACAGCATAATAATTAGTGTTGTTAAACGGCACGTTTGAGCCGATTTTTAAAAAAGGCTAACTCAATATTTTAGCCAGAAAAATATTGCATAAGCCTCGAGATTTCGCTAATAGATGTCCAAACCTTTGTTCCTTCTGCAACCAAAATCTTTAGGCTTGCGTTATAGTATTCTGGATGAAATATCGAGTTAGCCGTTTTTAAAATTCGGCTCAAAACGAGCCATTTAACAACACTAATAAAAATAAACCATCAAAAATGAATTTGAATAGTAAAAATAAGTAATTTATTTATACTAAATATCCGAAAAACAATTAAAAATTATGTGTATTACCTTAAAAAAAGTTTATTTGACCGCTCAATATAATAAATATTTATATAAAGTTGCATTATAAATTGGAAACTATAGTTGGGTAATGGCTAAATTTCGACTAAATCTTCAGTGGCCTGCCGAAAAAAATCCTTTTATATTATGGCGTTTTACGATATTTTTTACGAATTCAAATTTCTAAACAGCTATTTTTATCAGAATCGATATTCGTTACGGTTCGGGTCCCTGCCTATTGCTACTATCAATTTGATTTTACAGACTGAGAAATCTGCGCTTAATATCAAATTCAGGAAAAACATATTGTTATCTGACCATAACCATCGTATATAAATGATTATTTGCCCATATCAGGCCTTAGCTTCCACCTAGTTTAGGTAAAATCAATCGAGTTTAAAAAGCTGTTTTCTAATCCTAAATTATCAGATAACTCAGCACCTAATGACAGATTCATCACATATCTCATATAGAGATTAGGCTTATTCAAAAACGAATGGAAATATAATTGCTCAATTTTATTAATATTTAAAGAACAAATATTTTACTATACGTATTCGCTTCTATTTCTTTTTTGAATAGATTTAATAGAGATAGACTAAAACAGCGCTCACATCAGTCCCGAGTCCCCTAAAGATATTTTAAGCTGAAAACTAAACTATCCTCATTCACCGTTTACTTAAACAAAGAATATAAAATAAGAACGAAGCAAAATTTATTAAGAAATCAAAGAAAAGATATACAAAAGAATATCTTTGAAAAATAAATATGAAACGCTGTGTTAATTCGGCCTATCGAATTTTACCAATATAATAGCCCAATTATTTAAATCAACTGACTATTGTTGGAGTCAGACTCAGCATGAATATATTTTTTCCTGTATTATATTTTATAATGAGATCATGTGCATTCACATCTATTCATAATTTTTTTGCAAAATTTAAGAGATTTTTTTTATAAACAAGAAAAAAGAATTAATTTTCGAATCATATATTCGACAAACCGAATTGAATAATAATCGATTCTTACGAATAACACAATTATTCGATTCATATATGAATAATACAATTATTCGATTCGAATACAAATAATACAATTATTCGATTCTCATTTTTGTAGGCCTTAGTGTTAAGTCATTGCCAGTATTCTCAAAAGGGCATTCATGGACATTATTAAATTACTTATTTCACTGATAGAAGAGTATCAATTTTTTTGTTTAAAAAAATTGCAAATTTTCTAGTGACCCCCCTTCACCCCTTTCCTCCCGCTTTATTTATTTATTATGTTAAGAACAAAATGCAGATCCATATATCCTTATAAATATAGTATTTTTAATTTACTTTTATTTTGTTTACAATCCCTTAATTTGTTATTGATATATTTGGCAGGTTATTTCAAGTTGATTATTTTATCTTTATAGGGTAAACTTAATTTTTATTTGTTTTTTTTGTAAAGGAATATCTTATTCATTTCAAAAATTTGCAATTTGCTTACCCCTATCGTTAGGAATGCGATATGTGCAATGTGCTGGGCATTTATCAAACCTGGACTTGCAGTATTTTCCATTTTTTGGCCCTTTCTAACTTTAGCCATTTTATGGCCCAGCTATTAAATTTTCCGGCCCGGGTTTAAGAATCAATTCATGCACGACCGAACCCTTATTTCAAAGATTACTTACTATCCCGGATATTTATATCTAATATTTATTAGAATTAAAAATCGACAATTAAAATGGAATGCATGAACCAGAAAATACAGAATATTCTTTTTCATTTTGTTTGTTTAACATATTTAAACTTTAAAACTGATCCCAAGAATTCTTCATATATTAATAGACATAGTATTGGATATTGAGTTAATATTTGATATTGATAGGCTCTATATATTATGTGAATATAATTTTTAGGATTTTTGCAATGCATTAAGACATACAATAGCATCTCTTTTAAACGAGTTTTTTCAAAATAAAATTTGTTAATATTATCAAAATGTTTTAAAAGTAAAATTGATAAGTCCGCTATAAATACAGGATATCGATATTTCTTGATTATACATGCCATCCGCACTTTTTATGAACAATGTGTTAGTATATTTGCTGCCATACTAAATTAAAAATATTGAATAAAATAATTAATTTTTTATGGTGCAGATTATTTAATTTATTGACTATTTTTAAAGATCAATATATTATCTTATGCATAATTTTCTGCTGAAAATATAAATTGAGTATGGGTTTGAATCACAAATTTTGGTCATATTATAGTATAGGTGGCTTCTATAACTAGGCAATGGCATTGCTAGCCTTTTTTTTTCAAAGGGGAGGGCCCACTTTAATAAGGAGCTGAAGGGGGGAGGTATCTAACTTTTTAAAATTTTAGCCTTCACCTCATTTCTAACTATACAATTGTTATTATGAATTTACTTGACATTTAACAAGAGTTTTATAAAAGAGGAAATATTAGATTTATGAAATCATTCTTACGCGTTGCGTTCCACATTTTGACAAGGGGATACTAAATTGTAAATTTTGAGCTCTATTATATGAGTTATTTCCTATATGAATGTTGCCATTGTCATCATATAAAACACATTCTTCGGCTTCTGTTCCAATATGTATGAGACCATAAAATGTGCCATTTAACTGGATTGAGATCACCATTTCATTAGATTCGCATTTATGTTCAACTTTGATTATATAAATAAATTACTAAATATGATTGATTAAACTTGTCGGTTTGATGATTTTTTGCCCTTTGATTTGCTTGTTTTATAAAATTTATATTTAAAAAAAAAAATAATAAGTTTTTATAAAAGTTAATTTACATTTCGTTTTTCGTTGGGGTATTCGCATTTAATTTGCTGCTTAATTGAATATGTTGGAAAAATTAAGAAAAGAGTGTTGGAGTATACAGTTCCATTGGGTAAATCCTGAAAATATTTAGATAATTAGTGTTAGTTTATTTTCTAAATTGCATGCAATAAATTGTACAAAATGATTTATAAATAATTATTTCGTAAATATATACATGGCGTTTGGTTCCGCATTCGTTGAGCGGCACATATATAATATTTCTGTCTTCGAGCTCCGAAGCGCTTCTTAAAGTACATTTATCATTTCCGTCGCCAGCCTTAATTTCATCAACCATGATTTCTTTTTTATTAAATGTTACAACTACTTCTATTTTATCTTTGAGACATTTAAGATCACCTTAAAAAAAATATATTTTTCGTCATAAAAATTTATATTTAAGAAATTTATATAGTTATATAACCCTACATCCAAAACTAATTTACTTTTCGTATCTAGTTATGTATTAAGATGCAATTATCCAAATTTTTTTGACAGATATACCATAATATATTATCTCTTACGAAAAGTTTAAATCTGAACGCAGCTTAATATAATTACAGAATATTCCTTGATTCATATCCTAAAATTGGTATTTTGATCTTAAGACCGTGTTTAACGTATCTTAGTGAATAGTGACTCTTCCCAAATCAAAATATTTATTTAATGTATACTCTTAACACAAACCAAAATAGGATGTCCTAATTCAAAATCTATTTAAACCATTTCGAAAACAAAGACACGGATAGTTTGTATGTCCATGTAATTTTAAGAACATGAGCTATATATAAATTTTTAAAAGCAAAATATTTCCCCTGTGAATCCTGGTTACTACATTTTCATTAGTTGGGTAAAAATATTAAAACATTTATGAAATATTAAAGGTTTCTTTTAAATAATAAGATCATTTCCTTATATAATTCGGGAATTCGAACCTTTATAATTGATTTCAGTATTAATTTGGGATACGTCTCTATACTTTCTTCTCCTTATTTTAGATACCGTTATATCAGCCACTGCCTCTTCAAATATCAGTTTATCATTCATTATTTTGGTTTCACACTTTGATGTATGCAATGTGCGGCCTATCACTAATGGCAGATCTGGACTGTAATATTCGATCTCGAAATTAAACAAATAATTGGCATCCACTTTCTGTTTATTTTTTAAAAAATAATAAAGTATTCGATTGATTATAAATTACTAAATAGTAATTCCGTGACAAATCAGCAAAAATAACCCTATTTTCGTCTTGATCACTTTAGATTTTTTAAAAATTTTGTGTATAAATAGTGCATATAATAATTAAGAAAATTGTATAGTTTCCAAACTTTAAAAGTTCTCAATAAATTTTATTTTTAATAATAAAAAAAAATATTTTATTAAAAGTTCACAAAAATATTTTTTATTTTATAATTTTATTTTATTAAAAGTCAAAAAAAATTTAAATGAATATATTATTTTCAATATCCTTCCAAAAGATTCCAATGTAGTAAAAACAGCGGATTAATTTTTTTATTTATAAAATTCTAAACACAATAATAATATTTTGTCCAATCAAAACTTTACTTTTGAATGACATATAATGGTTAGTACATGGATATACGAAAATATAATTACTGACAGTCTACAACCAAACTATATTCAGAAGCCTAAATATGGATTATCAAAGTGCAATATTTTATTAAATTTTTGAAATGCGAATATCTCTGGAAGACTGAGCTAGCATATTCATTCAAATATAGTTTAGTAACATAATTGCTCATTAATATTATTATAAAAAAATATATTATGGGCAAATATCGGGAAACATTAGGAGTATAAAATTAAATATGTAACTTTTTCCCTTTGACTTTTATATTATATAAGGTAGATCTTAGACCAAGGTACATTTATATTATATATACAAAAAAGTAGGAAGGGGATGCTACAGGTTTTAATGTTAACTATTAAATTTAAATAAAAAGCATTCAGTTTGTAGAAGAAATATTTAAGTTTGTCTAAATCTATTAAACAAAACTGAAAAAGATGGAATATTAAAAAAAATATTTTCAATCATAAAAGGAAAAATTTTATTTTAGGGCTTAAAAATATTATGAACAAAAAAATTTCTGATATTTCAGGTTAAGATTAATAAATTTTTTATGATATTCTCTGATCACTTTTCTATTATAATGTTATACATTCCTAGTCGTGTCAATATTTTATTTACGATATTACTGGGCTGAGCTAGGACCTCTAACTTACCTAAAATAATCCTTATGTGTGCTCAAAAAATTAGTTATTTTTAATTTGAGATCAAGTTTGAAAATAAATTATAAACAATAAAATTGACATTATCAATAATAAATAATCATCTCAAATCTGATGGCTTTTTAATATTAATTTTAAAATAATTTAAGATAAATGTTGTAGTAAAGAGTGAAAATAGGTCATTTTTATCCCCTTTACATGCTCCTAACTTTAAAGCCTGTTAACTTTTTTATATACATAATATATGCACCTTGATCCAATATCTACTTATATAAAAAAAATAAAGTAAAAAAAATGTAACAATTTCATTTTATACTCATTTCCGATTTTTAATTCCCGTTATACTTATAATATTTTTTCATTAATTAAATTTTCATATACTATTAAAAGAGCTATTTATTAAGTTACTAGAAATATTTGAAAGGATATTTTAAATTAACCACTTCCAGAGATATTTGCATGTTAAAATTCAAATATTTGATAAATTTTTCACTCTGAGCCCCCATATCTTGACTACTAGATAAGTGAAAACCTTAAATTGTTCTTTTTACACTAGATACTATTAATGTACAATTAAAAAAAATCTTAAAGGGATCAGGCATAAATTCTTGATTTTTCATGGAATTCACTATATATATCATTTTTTAACCTTTATTCCACAATCCACCAATTTTATTTCAATATTGACTTTGTGAGTAAAGTTTCCTCTCCAACTACAGGAATTATCTTTGGCCTTAATCTTTCCGGAAAACTTTTGGGGAAAGTTTAATTTAAGGTTCATGGTGTTAGAGAATTTCGAGCAAAACGCGTTTATCTATAGATAAATAATTTATATGATTAGAAAATATTTGAAGATTGTAATCAAATTTATTATTCATATTGTTTTTTTAACATAATCATTGCTTGATCATTATTATAGCCTTCCATGTATATTTTGTTAAATTGTATAAGAGAACGACCTATCTTATGCCTAAGTTTAATAAGTTCATCGGCTAAATGCTTCAATCTTAAAAAAATGAGTATGTTATATAAGTTTCCCTGCCTATGCGACACATCAAACATTAATCATCTTTAAACTCTAAAGGGACCAGTTTGAGTTTTTACTTTGAAGACCAGGCATATGGATACTTCATTAAAATATGGGTCATTTTAGAACCAGGCAGGACCAATCTATTTTGAAAAATTTTGCCCAGACTAGAACATAACCTAGAACCCCGTTAAATAAGAAATCGGAACCAAAACTCTAAAAAATATTCCAAACCGGTACCAGAACCACTTTTAATCTAGGCGCCAACCTCTGAACTTATTACCGTTTTATCAAATGACTAGGCCCAATCATGACCATAATATTATGAAATATAAATTAGGTATATAATCATTAAATTAAATATAATAATTCAAACATTTTTGACCAAACAAATTATACAATGGTCAAATTTAACATGATAGGAATTCTAACCCTATCGTTGCGGCATAGATTTTAAAATTTTGAGATTTAGATCGAACCAGATCATGAGATTTACTAATTCATGATTCTAATTTATAAAAACTTGAAATTTAAAAAAATAAACTATCACATTATGGGAGTCTATATTAAAGAATTGGCAAAGATATTTTATAAATAATAAAATAAGTTTTGATGATTTATCAAGAACTGCATATTAACATAAGTAAAATCAGAAACCATAAAAAAAGGTCAATATAGATATTAGGTCTGTAATTAAGTCACCAATATTTATATTTGTATTCATTTTGTATTTATTACATTTGGGGGTTGTATATCAGAAGGTATTCCAGCCTCTATGCCCACGGATAAAGGTGTTACAAATTGAGTTTGACTAAGGTCAGAATTTTTTTTATCTTTATCTTCTTGAACTTGAATTCCCTCCTTAGTATTAGGTAAAAAGCTATCAGCTCTATCTTTATTTGTAGCGATTTGAGATTGTTGGACCTTAGCATTAACTGGGGTTAGCTGGTTGCTTTGTATATAAGTACCCTCTAAAGGTCTAATTTCCTCAATTTCGACAGAGACCTTTTTTTCGATATTTGGAATCAATTCTTTAGCGAAGCTTCTCAATCTTTGATTATCAACTATGATATTTTTTGTATTTATCGTAGTGAAGCGCTCTATACCATTGATATCATTTATGAGGTTAAGTTTATTTTGAGTGCTAGATCGAGTCATTTGATTAAATCTGGTAATCGAAGTTTTATTATCGAGATTTGTAATTACTGGGTTCATTATCGATACCAGAGAAATTAAAGGCACCTCCTTAAGATCTGCTCTAATATTTTGATTCTTATTAAACATTTTATAATTTGGGATATCCGTATTATCATAGTTATTTTGCCTTGAATTATTATGTCCCTCTTTAAAGTAATGCGACCTCTTATAACCTTCAGGATATAAATCCTCATAAATCTTTTCGAATTTTTTGTTTGCATAGGTTTGAGTAACCGGTGTATTAGTTGAAGATTCAATAGTAGTGCCTTGGCTGCCATGTTTATGATTTTGTTGCCTTTCAAAATTACCTTGGAAATTTAAAGGAATCAGTATATTTTCATTATTATTATTATCCTTTTTATTAACATCCATATTTTTTGTTTCTTGAGTAACAATTACAGCACCTTGACGAGACTGCTGATTTCGAAGACTCGTATATTTACAAACTAAGTTATGTTTTACCATTATCACATTCTGATTTTTATTAATTAACTTATTTGTGGCGTATTCTGCAAACAAAGTGGTCTTATACACGTTAGTTGGCTTTTATAGTAATAATAATGATTTAAAAGAAGTTGTATTTTATTTTTATATAATAAGATTGGAATCTCTTTGAATTATAATCTGATTTTTGATGTTATTAATTCCTATTAAGCCAAAACATTTTCACTGGGAAAAAAAAGATCAACATTTTTACAATGGTTAAAGAAAAAAACTTATTTTGTTTAAATTAAATGTACATATTATTATAAGTACTATCCGTTTTTAGCTCTTCCCTCCAATGTCTATTATCTTCCTCGAAGAATTATTAAGAGTGAGCTCCTAACTATATAAATTGATATTTACATTTTTTCCTTCGAATCGGAGGGATGCTTATTTTAAACTTATGGTATAATTTGGGATTAAATGTTTTAATAAGACATTTTGCATTTTAATCAATGGCTTCTTGCTCAAAGTAAATTTAACTGCAATTATTCAGATACTTGTTCGTGGGTGCATTCCTTTAATGGAATATCGACGGTCGTAACATTGTTATAAAAATTTTTGAAAATTTTAGACGTGAATTCGCATATGAGCTGCGAAGTTATGGCTCCATCCTTTTTATATTTGGTGTAAAGTTTGGACGGAAAACCAGTCTCCGCTGAGGTGCCATCAATTGTGAGTAAAACTTTCATGAGACCTGAGTGGCACTTCAGTTCAACTTATAAAATTTTTTTTAGCATAAAATTAAGAAAGAATTTGCAATTGTAAACCAGTTTGTAAAAAAGATAAGCGAGCTTTAAAAGTAACATACACATATATTATATATATGTCGTATAGGGATATGAAATGAATCGAATATTTTTACTTGAATTACCATATAAGGGATTCGGAATAATATTTTTAAAAATATAAAATATTAAAAACTACAAAGATTTCATATGATAATTTGTACGTGATAAAACGAATTGAGAAGTTAAATTGGAATAGCAAGGTTAAAAAGTTTTTAATCATTTATTTAATTATATATGTTTTAGATGGTCAACACTATAATAAAATTTTTATTTTATTCATTATACTAATATCAACACCTACAGAATTTACTTATTAAAATCAGCCCTTCCCCTACCCCATAAAGTAATTAAATATATGCGCAATTCTGAGGTATAGGCTTTTGCGTTACCCTACTCTTTTCATCTTAGCCTCTGAATGACAGTCATCGGACTGTTGTGCGTACAAGCAAGTGCGTCTTGCCCACAAAAACGTAGAGTGCTCCTCATTTTTAATTTTTCACCCGACTTAATTTATTTCAGTTAGAATGGAAATGAAGAATGCTTATAGTGGCTCTGTTGAACCTTCAACAATAGAGGGCAAAAGGGCTATAAATAACGTATAATATATTCTAAATCTAAACTATTATGCTTATATCTAGTCCTAGCTCAATCAAATTAATTACGAATTTTTTATCCAATTAGATTCGCTTGTCCAAATCAAAAACCCCACTGATTCCATATCACTATACGACATATATAGATATAAATAAATTAACGGGAAAATAAAAACTTTAATATTAGTATACAGGACTTATTCATAAATAAATGATTGACAATTGTCTACATTATTTTATTTTTCTTGTGAGTTTAGACGGTAAAGTTTTTTGCATTTTTATTGTTTGATTCGACACTACTACATATGTTTAAAATACAAATAAAATCGTTGTGTTTGAATAGTGTGTGTGTCTCAGTCGCTATAGGCGTAGATTGAGAAATAACTTTGACTTTATATCTCGACCTTAATTCAAATCTTTCCATGCTACGGGGTATGATATGTAACATAGTGTTGCGTAATCGGCTAATTTTAGCCGACTAAAAAACGGCTTAGCCGAGATTTGTGAAAAAATCGGCTAAGCCTAATTAGGTAAAGCCTAAAAATTGGCTAAGCCTAAAAATTGGCTAAAATAAATTAGTCAAAATTCTGCATTAAATATAACTTGAAACAATAAAAATAGGCTTGTAATATCCATAAGCAAGAATTAGTAAATAATAGTTAAAAATATAAATATATAGCTAAAACATAAGACCCGGCCAAAGACCAGGTGGTTTGGGGGGCAATAATTAATTTTATTTATATTTAATGTAAATATTTTATTATTATCAACAAATAAACATGATATGATTTAATATTTTTTATTTATATTATTATATTTTGAAATGAAAATAAATTTATTTATTTGTAGTTTTTTTAATAAAAAAAATAATATGCTGCTATATTGTAAAAATGTAATATTCTTTTTAATATAATTTATTAGTGATTTTCACAATCTTCTTTGTAAATACATCTTTTATTGAGGAATTATATTGTAAATTTTATTAGATAAATAAACAATCTTTTAGGTGAAATTTTTTATCATTTTTTTAAAATTATCTATTATTAAATGAGGTGGATTTTATGAAACTTTTTTGATGTTATTTTATATGATCTTTTTATGGATAATATTTTAATGTGACAATTGTCATAATCGTTCTTTTATAAGTTTTTTGAATTTTTTTGATGAAAGTATGTTAAAATAAGTATTAATAACATGTGTAAATACAAATTTAGTGAAGATGTACCAATGAAAAGTGACAATTGTTATAATCGTTATTTTTAAAGTTTTTTGAATTTTTTTGACGAAAATATGTTAAAATAAGTATTAATAACATGTGTAAATATAAATATAGTGAAGATGTACAAATGAAAAGTGACAATTGTCATAATCGTTATTTTTAAAGTTTTTTGAATTTTTTTGACGAAAATATGTAAAAATAAGTATTAATAACATGTGTAAATATAAATTTAGTGAAGATGTACCAATGAAAAGTGACAATTGTCATAATCGTTATTTTTAAAGTTTTTTGAATTTTTTGACGAAAATATGTTAAAATAAGTATTAATAACATGTGTAAATACAAATTTAGTGAAGATGTACCAATGAAAAGTGACAATTGTTATAATCGTTATTTTTAAAGTTTTTTGAATTTTTTTGACGAAAATATGTTAAAATAAGTATTAATAACATGTGTAAATATAAATATAGTGAAGATGTACAAATGAAAAGTGACAATTGTCATAATCGTTATTTTTAAAGTTTTTTGAATTTTTTTGACGAAAATATGTTAAAATAAGTATTAATAACATGTGTAAATATAAATTTAGTGAAGATGTACCAATGAAAAGTGACAATTGTCATAATCGTTATTTTTAAAGTTTTTTGAATTTTTTTGACGAAAATATGTTAAAATAAGTATTAATAACATGTGTAAATATAAATTTAGTGAAGATGTACCAATGAAAAGTGACAATTGTCATAATCGTTATTTTTAAAGTTTTTTGAATTTTTTTGATGAAAATATGCTAAAATAAGTATTAATAACATGTATAAATATAAATTTAGTGAAGATGTACCAATGAAAAGTGACAATTGTCATAATCGTTATTTTTAAAGTTTTTTGAATTTTTTTGACGAAAATATGCTAAAATAAGTATTAATAACATGTGTAAATATAAATTTAGTGAAGATGTACCAATGAAAAGTGACAATTGTCATAATCGTTATTTTTAAAGTTTTTTGAATTTTTTTGACGAAAATATGTTAAAATAAGTATTAATAACATGTGTAAATATAAATTTAGTGGAGATGTACCAATGAAAAGTGACAATTGTCATAATCGTTATTTTTAAAGTTTTTTGAATTTTTTTGATGAAAATATGTTAAAATAAGTGTTAATAACATGTGTAAATATAAATTTAGTGAAGATGTACCAATGAAAAGTGACAATTGTCATAATTGTTATTTTTAAAGTTTTTTGAATTTTTTTGACGAAAATATGTTAAAATAAATATTAAAAACATGTTTAAATAAAAATTTAGTGAAGATGTACCATAGAAAAGTGACAATTGTCATAATCGTTATTTTTAAAGTTTTTTGAATTTTTTTGACGAAAATATGCTAAAATAAGTATTAATAACATGTGTAAATATAAATTTAGTGGAGATGTACCAATGAAAAGTGACAATTGTCATAATCGTTATTTTTAAAGTTTTTTGAATTTTTTTGACGAAAATATGTTAAAATAAGTATTAATAACATGTGTAAATATAAATTTAGTGGAGATGTACCAATGAAAAGTGACAATTGTCATAATCGTTATTTTTAAAGTTTTTTGAATTTTTTTGACGAAAATATGTTAAAATAAGTGTTAATAACATGTGTAAATATAAATTTAGTGAAGATGTACCAATGAAAAGTGACAATTGTCATAATTGTTATTTTTAAAGTTTTTTGAATTTTTTTGACGAAAATATGTTAAAATAAGTGTTAATAACATGTGTAAATATAAATTTAGTGAAGATGTACCAATGAAAAGTGACAATTGTCATAATCGTTATTTTTAAAGTTTTTTGAATTTTTTTGACGAAAATATGCTAAAATAAGTATTAATAACATATAAATTTAGTGAAAATGTACCAATGAAAAGTGACAATTGTCATAATCGTTATTTTTAAAGTTTTTTGAATTTTTTTGACGAAAATATGTTAAAATAAGTATTAATAACATGTGTAAATATAAATTTAGTGAAGATGTACCAATGAAAAGTGACAATTGTCATAATCGTTATTTTTAAAGTTTTTTGAATTTTTTTGACGAAAATATGTTAAAATAAGTATTAATAACATGTGTAAATATAAATTTAGTGAAGTACCAATGAAAAGTGACAATTGTCATGGACGTTATTTTTAAAGTTTTTTGAATTTTTTTGACGAAAATATGTTAAAATAAGTATTAATAACATGTTTAAATATAAATTTAGTGAAGATGTACCAATGAAAAGTGACAATTGTCATAATCGTTATTTTTAAAGTTTTTTGAATTTTTTTGACGAAAATATGTTAAAATAAGTATTAATAACATGTGTAAATATAAATTTAGTGGAGATGTACCAATGAAAAGTGACAATTGTCATAATCGTTATTTTTAAAGTTTTTTGAATTTTTTTGACGAAAATATGTTAAAATAAGTGTTAATAACATGTGTAAATATAAATTTAGTGAAGATGTACCAATGAAAAGTGACAATTGTCATAATTGTTATTTTTAAAGTTTTTTGAATTTTTTTGACGAAAATATGTTAAAATAAATATTAAAAACATGTTTAAATAAAAATTTAGTGAAGATGTACCATAGAAAAGTGACAATTGTCATAATCGTTATTTTTAAAGTTTTTTGAATTTTTTTGACGAAAATATGTTAAAATAAGTATTAATAACATGTGTAAATATAAATTTAGTGAAGATGTACCAATGAAAAGTGACAATTGTCATAATCGTTATTTTTAAAGTTTTTTGAATTTTTTTGACGAAAATATGTTAAAATAAGTATTAATAACATGTGTAAATATAAATTTAGTGAAGATGTACCAATGAAAAGTGACAATTGTCATAATCGTTATTTTTAAAGTTTTTTGAATTTTTTTGACGAAAATATGTTAAAATAAGTATTAATAACATGTGTAAATATAAATTTAGTGAAGATGTACCAATGAAAAGTGACAATTGTCATAATCGTTATTTTTAAAGTTTTTTGAATTTTTTTGACGAAAATATGCTAAAATAAGTATTAATAACATATAAATTTAGTGAAAATGTACCAATGAAAAGTGACAATTGTCATAATCGTTATTTT